TAGGACCATTCTTCTAGATCTAAAAGTATGATCCAATCAGCGCGAAGGAAACTTCCAACAGTTGCAAAACAAACGTTCTGCTGAACGCAGCCAATGATAGGAGATAGGAGCTATGGTAGGACCATGTTGGAGCATGTTGGAGCTTACGACGCGAACAAGCCTTATGCCCAATTTTTTCATTTCTAGGGGTGCTTTCCAGCAAGGACACAATGGCTGCGTTCAGCAGAGAAAGCAACTTTGCAACTGTTGTAAAATTCTTCAATATGATTGGTTTATACATTTAGATCTGTCAGGAACCAAAAGCAAGAACCAATCGTATTGAAGAATTTTACAACAGTTGCAAAGCTGCTTTCTCTGCTGAACGCAGCCACTGAGTCGTTTCATCCTTGTTTAACATTGGCAAACAACAAAGATGAAATAACTCACTGTGTTACACAGTGTCTGACTATGTCCTTACTGGAAAGCACCCTAGATAACTTTATCTAAGAGATATCTCCCAGAATACAATGGAGATATCTCCTGGACAAGGTCATCTGCAACTTATCTGGAAGTGAAAAAATTGGGCATTAGATAACAAAATACGGACTGCGTTCCGTTTCACGCATGATGTGCATATAATGCATCATTTATACTTATTTAATGTTTTGGTAAGTAACAAGGATAAATAATGTATCATGAGCATCATGCGTGAAACGGAACGCAGCCACGGCCAATATTGGATATGTTTCCTTTTTACTGACAGTACAACCATCATGACGTCACAACGGCTGCGGTCCACTTGACGCTACAAACGCTTCAAAGTATTCTTTGATTAGTCAATTTGTAAAATTCTTTGTTCTGATTGATCGCTCAAATGCTTCGAAGCGTTTGTAGTGTGAAATAGACCGCAGCCAACAGTATACTGCCACAGCCGTTCCAAAATTACTGTGGTACTACCAGCACTACTGTAACGTTGTATTTCGGAACGACTTTGCAGTAGAGATTGGCAGTAGTGTAAATAGACGCCATGGATAAACGCATTAAACTGTCAATGAATTTTGAACGGAAGCAGCAATGATAGTTCTTCCGAAGAAGATAAATTAATTATGGAATCACCAATTTAAGCAGTTCAACCTCGTGTTAAAAATTATGTGGATACAGTTAATAAATATTCAGATGTGAAATTTAAGAGTTATTTTCTGTAAAATGCACATGCATCTTCTGCACTTAAATATAATGTATATATTTTTTTATTTCCTAGATCAGATGAATATTTCCACGCGTTGTGCTTCTTTAAGCGACGCCATATTGTACTGTGACTGCCTCACCTCGAAAACCGCAGTCACGGAGTAATAAGGAAATCAAGCTCAAGCGGTCGGCCATGAAAAAGATGGACGAAACACGGTGTCGGAAAAGCGCTGTATAGAAGAACTGATCCGAGCGCGCCTGTCGGAGAAAACTGTGAACTAGAGTATTATCATCGAAAAGTAGGTTAGCAAAATGTAGGTTAGAGAGAGCGAAATGTATGTCACGTGACAGTCAATACATTCAACTTTTCCCGCAATGGCGCTAAAATCATATCTTCTCGATTTTCCATGGGGTTTTCCGAAATCGTGTTTCGAGTCCATATTTCATCCTCGAGCTTGATTTCCTTCTTATTACTCCATGACCGCAGTAGTCGCAGTGGCAATGTGACTACCATTTGTGACGTCATTGAGGGAACTAGACGCTGGCTGTGGTCTGATTCATGCTGACAACGCTCATGAGCATTATTTGTCTTTGTTCAACATTTGACAAACAACAAGGATGAAATGATTTTAAGCTTTGTGAACGTGAATCGGACCGCGGCCGCTGTCGCAGCGCGCTGTAACCCCGGATCTACAATAGGGTTTTAAGTCTTAAGTCATAAGAAATGGGCGAATCACAATCGATTATTCCCCTCGGATTCGACTGTAATTGGTCAATTTCTTATGGCTTAGTCTTAAAACACCTATTGTAGATCCGGACTAATGGTGCGGTTTCATGGTGCGGAACGTATATGAAATACAAAATTGGCGGAACGATGTCTGTCCAATTGCAAGCATTCCGTCAATTGCGCTCCGCCGATATGTCTTTTCTAAACCAATCACGAGCGTTCCGCCAATTCCTCATTGTGCCAATTCCGTATCAGGGTGCCGTCACATGCGGCATAACCTGCGTAAGCGTAACTTGCGTATTCTAGTAATTTACTAGATTACATTACAATTCTGTTCCGTAAGAAGTTTCTCTACCCGTCTCAAGTAGCCGGAACGGAATGAAAACGGACGGAATGTCGCCTAGGTCGCAAGTTAATTTGTTTAATTTAATCGACATTTTGTTATTTTAATGCGACTAAAGCAGTAATATGCATAATTTGTGCAATTATCTTACCTATAACATTACTTTGAATACTCAAAAATACTGAATTATAAAAGTGAGATATATTTTGTTACCAAAATTCCATTGCGTTCCGGCTACATGGGACGGGAAGAGAAACTTCTTACGGAACGGAATGGTATGTTCAGCTGAGTTGGTTGAATGTAAAAATTGAAACGAATATTCAGAAACCTTTTCTTGAAAATTTATAATGATGGATGAAGAAGTAGTGTTATCTGTAATGCTAAAATTATTGCGAAATGCAAGAAATATACCAAGTTGGCGTGCCATTCCGATATTTAAGAGAGTACGAAAATTGTATTTCGTTTAGAACATTTTATTACAACAGTAAAAGAAAAATACAAGAAAACGAAAATTTTGGATACAGCCAATGTTTACACAAAGGATGAGGCATCTCCAAGGCGCAAGTGACAAGTTAGTCATCGAAATGCAAACGATAATGGGGATATGCTTCTGTGCTGGCAACTTGAAATTCCAAAGAGCTGGCCTCCGCTCTACAGCATCAATTAGCATCTTGTCTTTGGTGTCAGCTGACCTAGTACATTCGTTACTCTCTGATGATGGAACGTCGCTCTGCATATTTTCATTTGTATCCTTCATTCCTGTTTATATATAAGTATATATACTTACTGAATATGTCCAATATTTGCAAATAAATCATAAAAAAATATGTTCTCACAAATAAACATACTTATTGTAGCACGCCCTGTCTTGTCAATAGAGAGGACATGAATATTTTCGTCATAGTTTTGAAAACATTGATGAGCTTGAATCTCTGTACAAGACTCGAACATGAGCTAACCACAGTAACCACATTTTACTGCCTAAAAAAAATTAACACATTTGCTATGAAACGCATAATTTCAAATATTGTGCCCAAAAATTTCAGGGTTTTTGGTAAATAAAACAAAAACTAATATATATATATATAATCAATATACGTACAAATAATTGAATGAAATTGTCAATTTATTCTTACATAACCTAATCTCATCGTTTGACTCGATAATATTAACTTATTTCATTATTATTAAGGTAAAATATTGTACAAAATTATTATTTCTGGTCCTCCGTTATTGCTCATTTTGTTGTTTTAATTTCAATTATTGACAATCGTTCAAATAGCCGGATCGACATAGCCTGCAACCGACATGACATTTCGTTGATTCGGTACTGTTCCGGCCATGGTTCCGGTGGTTCCGATACAGCAGAGAAACTTCTTACGGAATGGAATTCTAGTGAACTTATTTCTAGTAAGAAATCCATTCCATCGTTCTGATTCCGTGTATGTACATACATGGGACGGCACCCCATGGGACCGCCCCATTAGGGCAGGTTCACACCTTGGCGGAAAGTAGAAAAGCGGAAGCCAATCAGAACTTGCGCTGGTACTTTGGTAGTAGACGATACTTTCCGCTTGTCTGCTTCTGTCTTTCCGCATTCTGCTTTTCTGGTTCCGTCTTTCTGCAGAATAGTTGATGCCTAAAGAAATTCTAATAACAGACAATTGTTATTTTTAAAAATATTATTACAGTGGAAAGAAATTGGTAAGTATGTGAATAAAATAAATGTATCTTTTTAATTTTCGTAATAAATTGATCTTGTGAGAATGTACAAATTCTATTTCATAACCTATAATTACTTTAGGTTAAGTTAAAATATTAATACAGTTTGAAAGTAGAAACCCTCTAATAAGAGTCTGGTCACCTCCCCGATTTATGATTGGTCCGACATTTATCATCCATTTCCGCAAATTTCTTTAAATCCGTAAAAATTAATAAATTCGTAAAAATTAAAGTAAAATCAATTAAAATTTTTATTTTTATTATTATTTAACTTATGTTAACATTATTAACCTTCCGCCAGCGGACATAGAGTCTCGCGAGACCCGCGAGTTAGAGTTGTTGACTTTTTTCAACTGTGAAGAAAATGAATAAATGGATATTTGTTTCTATAATAAATGTGTGTTTTTATTTCTCCTTCTACATATTTTAATATATACATATTATAATAAAAAACTGCTTTTTAAACGTTTTTAAAACAATTTCATTCTTGGGTCACTTTTAACCCTGCGTCCGCTGTGCGTGCGAGTATCACGACGTCCGCTGTCTGAGAGTTAAATATTTTCTATAATAACTTTTATATAAATGTAAAAAACTGTTGAAAAATGTCTTTCATAAAATAAAAAATAATAAATAAATAAATATTATAAATATACTAAAAATATAAAAATTAATATATTAAAAATATAAAAAACATTCATATTATATCCCTTTTCAGAAGAATTATT